TTGGGCACGCACGCACACGCACCCGGCGTGAGTTTTTAAGCCACTGGGTCCGGGACACGAACCGCGGTCGACTACGTGGGAGTCCAGCGACATAGCCATTACGCTAACTGCTGGTTCCCGTAGTTTTTTCATAACACGCATTTCCCATGAACTTTTTGAAGACCCTCGGCATGCATTCTTTTGCATCTTGCTTTTTTCTTCATTTCCTATCTTTTGGTGATCACTCCATATCAAATACATTCAAAAGGTCCAGAGAAGTAGTATACTTTCCCAGTTCCCCATTGGGCAAAAGTCACCTCATTTGGGGATGAAACTGTATCTTTTAGTTTGTCTATGTTTACTAGTGAGTTGAGATTCATAGAGCTAATGCCATGTACTTTTGCCAATTCTATTATGTTTCCAAGAAATTTCCCAGTTCCAAGAAATTTCCCCTCTGGAATCTGGGAAGGTGAACCCCGGTCTGGATCTCTAACGCGGGGTCTGCTCAGGAAACTGCATTGGCCATGGGGCGTTGGTGTGCTGGGTCAGGACTGAGGCCAAAATAGACCCAGCCTGCTGCCTTTACGCCCGAATAGGAGAGTATGCACCGCCAGCACGCAGCGTCCCCAAAGCACCTGCTCACCGCGGTCTGACCACCTCCCAGCACCGGTGGACGCCAGGCACCCCCTCTTTTCCTGATCTTCCTCTGGGCTTCGCGGACAGCACTATTCAGGTGTCCCGGCGAAGGCAGAGCCAAGGCTGGGACTCGGGCCGTTCCTGCAGGGCTCCGTTAGTTTTCCTCGGAAGGAAACCCAGGAGACCCTTGTGGGGTGGGTTGGGGCGGGCAGACCCACTTTCTTAAAAAGCTATTCCCGGTTTGGTGGAAAATATAAATATGCAAAAGCAGCTCCTCCGCATGCCATTGGACAGGCTGCGTGTTTAATATTCTTAACGCTATTTGTGGTTCTCCAGCAGCTCCCAACACCCGAGTTCGGTGACAGGGAGGGGCTAACGAGGCACGCCCTCCTCTGATTGGTAGCCCTCGAACAACAGTTGCTTTCGATTGGCTGGTGTAAAGCAGAGTGCGGTATGGGCGGGAGATTTGAAGACCTATTTTGTGTTTCAGGTTGCATAGACCGGGCCCCAGGTCACCATTTCCAATCCGCACGCCCACTCCGTGTGTGATGTCTTTGTCTCCTACATGTTAGTGCTTTACCAGGACCACACCCATAAAGAACATATTCCGAGCTCTGTATTCGTTCGGCCGAGCCGCTCGTTTTATGGATGCAGTAACGGAGGGCGCGGCCAGGAGGACTTGAGGTCCAGCTCCTGATTATAGCTCTGGGCACAGCCAGCTCCCCGAGTGCGGGCCCGAGGCGCGGGCTGCGGAGCGCCCCCCAGTATAACTCCTGGACCTGCGGCTCCCCTCGCGCCAGGCTCGGTGGGATCCCGGCCCCTCCTCCCACGTCGGAGGCTCCTCCTTTGACCGACTGCTAGCCTCAGCAACCCCAAGAATGTCTCGGATCTCCTCCAACCAGCGGCACTGGCTTTATGGTCCGGGCCCGCCTGAGTCTGCGCGAGACTGGTGCAGACACCGCTCGGCTCAACCCCATTCTACACCTGGGAGTCCAAGACCTGAGAGCGCAGCGCGACCCTCGATGACCGCGCCCAAGGCTTCAGTCACTGTGTCCTGCTTCGAGTCCTGCGTCTTCTTGGTAGGTCGAATGGGTGACCCTATGGCTTCCAGGCATAATCTTGTGTCTCCTGCGATGGAGACCTCAGAATTCACGCTTGCGCAGAGCCTTCCTGCGAGTTAACTTCGCGTCGGAACCCGCCCCCTTTGCCTGGGCGACGCGTCAACGGTTGCCATGAGACCACTTTGTTTCTGTCTCGGTCTGCTCCCGAGCTCCATTTGGGATAAGGAGGCTCCCATCCCGAGCTCGTGTAGTAGTTCTCTGCAGCTCTGAGGTTAGTACTCCCCGGTCCCACCCCTCCGACCCTTAGCGGCGGCGCTCCGCTGATCCCAGCCTTCTGCCAGTTGAGATCAGCCCTAATTTATGTCCCCGCCTCTCTGGGTTGCGGCAGACTTATCCAAAAGTCGTGGGTTAAATGTTGGACCAAGAGGCTGTTTTAGGAAGAAATGGGGGCTCCAGGTTGTCTGAAAGGGCTGCGTTGATCGGGCAGCACCCCTGTTATGTGTGAAGGCTTCAACAACCCGAAGCCCCAAGGGCAGGCGCTCGGATATCTGGGGAGGGATGCGAACCAGGCAGATTTCAGCCCGGCTGGCGGAAGACGGTTCTCAGCCAATCAGCGCCGCCTGCAGATGCACCCGGCCGGTTTGAGTCTGTAGCTGTGGGCCTGTGCGGGTGGCTTTCTCCTGCGTTGCCCTTCCCGTACTTTTTTTTTTTTTTTTTATTTTTCCCTGGGAAGTTTTAAAATTCTTTTATCTGTTGAATAGGCTTAATACCCAGTTGTCAGTTTTTCCAGTCACATTGGTTCAGTTTCTAGGAAAACACTTCCAGGCTCATCTGTTAGGCAGGATGCTATGCCTCAGCAAGTCTAATGAGTCATAAAAATTCTCACATGTGTGCAGCCAAAGACATGTATGAGGCTATTTATAGCACTCTGGGCTTAGCCCTAAAGTGGAAACAACACAAATATCCATAAACTGCAGAAAACAGATACATTTTGATCTATTTGTACAACAGTCCAGGACATAGCTATGAGAACAACAGGGAAGAATCTTACAAACGTTGTTAAGTGAAAGAAGTCAGGTACCAAATACTATGTATTGTCTGAGTTTATCTATAGAAGGGGGGTCTTCTAAATATTCAGGCAAAATGCATCATTACAAAAAATTTTCACATCAAAATAAGCTTGTACTTTAATTCTCATTTTCCATGCACTTTTCAAAGTTCCTTTGTATTAAGCATGAAAACAGCAAAACTCATGTATAGAGTTGTAGAATGGCATACTGCAACAGAGTGGATAAAAAGGACACTGTTAACCTTATATAAATACATTTCTCAGGACCAGCAGGTGACATGGTGTGGTTAAGGCACTGGACACTCTCACATGGTTGGCTGTGGTTCGAGTCCCAGATCTGGTGGCTTGCTTTCCCACTTTCCCTCTTCTCTTTCTCTCTCTCTGATAAAATTGAAATAAATAAATGAATAAATAAAATAGAATAATCTTTTAAAAAATAAATATATCTCTCAAAAAAATGCAAAGAATGTAGTAGAGCAAAAATTGAAGATGCTTATCATAATGTGATATTCTTTGTTGAATATGATGAATATGGTAATAATATTCTTGATTTGACTATCATGCACTGCCTTGAAAATCCATATGATAACCCACAAAGATGTATGACAATTAAATGTAATGAAGAAATGTTTAAAAAATGGAAATAAAAAGTCGCTGTGGAGTTGGAGGTGGAAACTGGTGATTGGAAAGAAGTTCGACGGGCTGGTAATCCTTGTTTCTTAGTCGGGGTGCTGGCTACTGAGGTGTTCCTTTATGAACTTTGCAGTATGTATGTCACACTTTAATAAAGCGGACATAAAAAGGACAAATTGTTTTCATTTGATCTAAAATATCTATCTTTGCTCAGGACTTTGGAAACCTCCCATGGCTAAACTACTGCAAGTTCCGCCCAAGTTTCTGCCCTCGGAGTGGCACATCGCCAACAAAAGCCAGTACCACAGAGCAGAGGCCCAGAGGTCCCGGTCTGAACGCCTCGTGGCAGAAAGCCAGAGGCTTGTGGATGAAGTAGAAAAGACCACAAGAAAGTCGCAAAGCGATGTGAACAAGAAACTAGGTAAGACCACATGCATGGCACACCCGTGAGCATGTTGGGGTGAGGCCGTCGAGGGTTAGCTGTAGTGTCGTGTTCAGGTGTGGCAACGTATTCTTATTGAAATGTTAGGGAAGAACAGATGTATCCTCCAGTCTCCATGTTTCACTTTACTGCCCTAAAATAGACACAGGGTAACCCAGTCTGACTTTGAGCCATTTCTCATCCATTACTCATTCATTGATTTGGAACACATTTACTGAGCAGATATCTAAGAGTAGTTATGGACCACACCCTGGGAATATCACAGGGAGCGGTCAGAGTCTCTGCTTTTTGGTGGTTCCCAGCTCAAAGAAGAGAAAGATACAATGCTTAATAGTAAGGATACAATCAGATAAGGGTGGGGTAAGGGGAACAAAGTTAGGGATGGGGTAGGTACAGGAGAATTGGGAACGCTTTCCTAGAGAGGAATAGTTGAGCTAAGTCTTAAAAGAAAGGTAATTTTCTCTTGACAATTTCGTAATCAAAAATAATATTTAAAGGGTAGTGCCCTAGGGATTAGCAGATAGCGTAGTGTTTATGTCACTGGACTCCCACATTGCCAATCACAGTTCAAGTCCCGGACCCAGTGGCTTCAAAATCACACGCTGGATGTGAGTGCGTGTGTGCCCAAGATCCTGGGAGAAAAATGCTGACAAGTTCCAGGAGGTGAGGAAATTCTTGCAAGATCTAAAAGCAGAAATATACACTGTAAAAAAGAATCAAATGGACCTGTTAGAGATAAAGGCTATAATACAGGAAGTCCAAATGTCCCTTGAACGTATTAAAAGCAGACTAGATTATATAGAAAATCAAATCTCAGATGTAGAAGATAGAATCATTGGCTTAGAAAAGTCCACCACGAAGACTGAGACAATTGCCCCCAAAAACGAGAATAATATAGAAGAAGTACTAGATAACACCAAACATCCAAACATCCAGATAATCGGTATCCCAGAAGGCGAAGAGACTCATAAGGCCATTGATAATCTATTCCATGAAATCCTGCAAGAAAACTTTCCAAACCTAGAGAGGCATTCAAAGATCCAGTCCCAAGAAATACAAAGAATCCCAAATAGAATCAACCCAAGAAGATATAGCCAGATTGACCAAAACCGCAGACAAAGACAAGATACTAAGATTGGCAAGAGAGAAACGGCAAGTTACCTACAAAGGGTATCCCATCAGACCAACAGCAGATCTCTCATTGGAAACAATGCGAGCGAAGGAAGAATGGGAAAATGTATTCAAAGTGTTAAGGGAAAAGCAATGTCAACTAAGAATACTGTACCTGGCAAGATTATTCTTCATATGGGAAGAAAAGACAAGGACATTCGCAGATAAATAAAACCCGAAAGAATTTACCAACACCAGACCAGATCTCCAAGAAGTTCTAAAGGGAGTGCTATACCAGGAAAATTAAATGCAGAC